AGGATTGGAGGAAGGCTCATTAACAACCTGAGATATGCAGACAAACAACTTTGCTTGCTGAAAGTGAGGATGACTTGGAGCACTTACTGATGAAGATTAAAGACTACAGTCTGCAGTGTGGATTACACCTCAGTGTAAAGAAAACAAAAATCCTCACAACTGGACCAATAAGCAGCATCACGATAAATGGAGAAAAGAATGAAATTGTCAAAGACTTCATATTATTTGGTTCTACAATCAACGCCAACGGAAGCAGTAGTCAAGACATCAAAAGATGTATTGCATTGGGCAAATCTGTTGCAAAAGACCTCTTTCAAGCGTTGAAGAGCAAAATGTCTCCTTGAAGACAAAGATGTGCCTAACCCAAGTCATGGTATTTTCAATCACCTCATATGCATATGAGAGCTGGACAATGGATAAGGAAGACCAAAGAGTTGATGCTTTTGAGTTGTGGTATTGGCAAAGAACGCTTAAAGTACCATGGACTGCTAAAAGAACTAACAAATCTGTCCTGGAAGAAGTGCAGCCAGAATGCTCCTTGGAAGTGAGAATGGCCAGACTTCGTCTCACCTACTTTGATCATGTTGTCAGAAGGGACCATTCCCTGGAGAAGGATGTCATGCTTGGTAAAGTGGAGGGTCAACGAAAGAGAGGAAGGCCCTCAACGAGATGGGTTGACATGGTGGCTGAAGCTATGGGCTGAGGTACAGTAGGGATCATGAGGCTGGCACAGGATGGAGCAGTGTTTTGTTCTGTTGTACATAAGGTCACTATGAGTTGGAGATGACTCGACGGCACATAACAACAAGTACTTGGGAAAAAATAAGGCACAGAAAGATAATAAGGAGGACTGAAGAATGAACGTAGAAGGTCATTTTAAATACAGTAGTCAGGAAAGGCTCACCAAGAAAGTACCATTAGGATCAAGGCTGTGCAGATACACTGAAGCAGAGGGAACAGCAAGTGCAAAGGCAAGAACTTGCCTGGCATAACTGAGAAGACCAGTGTATCAGGAGCAGGAGGTTCCAGGGGGAGTAGCCACAGACATCAGAGAGGTAATGGAGTGTCAGACTATCCAGGGGCTGGTAGAGCAAGACCACCAAATAAAACAAAGGAGTTGGAGAAGCTTTCTTATGGGCCACTGTAAAGATTTTGGTAAGCCAGCCCCGGGACCAGCTGAAGGCAGGTGTTTTCATTCATGGAGACTTTGTGTTTTATACTGAGTGAGAAGAGAAATGATTGGAGGGTGTTGAGGAGAGGAATGAAGTGATCTGACTGTTAGACTAAAGGACAGACTTGAAAGGGAGCAAGAATAGACAGAGCAGGATGTCCAGTTAGGAGGCAACTATAATAACCAAGACAACAGATGAAGTTTCCATTTTTTTGAAGAGTTATATTTATGCCATCTCTGCCCTATTGTTTCTTTTTTTTTAATTGTGATCTGGATGAAAGTTTCATTTTCCATACAGCAGTTCATACACATTGTTTCATGACATTGACTATAATTCCCCACAATGCACCAACTCTCTTCTCACTTCCTCACCATAGTTACCTCTTCCCTGTGTCCTTCCTTCCCATGCACTCCCACATCCCCAAGCTATCTCCCTGTGCAAACATTGCCCTTCTGTTCTCCCATGATTGATTGATCGGTCCAAGTAGTATACCTACCTGGTATAAATGTTCACCCCATATGTCTGTCTCTTGTTTGGCTGGAAGCCACAGAAATGAGTTCAATTCCACACCTACAGGGTTACTAGGGGCCATAGTCTCAGAGGTCTCACCAGGCTCTATCAGACCAGCAAACCTGGTCTTTTTTTATTTTTTTTAAATGATTTTGAGCTTTGTTCCACATTGTTCTCCCACTATATCCAGGATCTCCTGTACCAATCCCCCTCTGAGTTGTTGACAGTGGTAGCTGGGCACCATCTAGTTCTTCTAGTATCATGGTCAAATAGGCTGAGGATCGCATGGTGTACCAGTCCCTTGGACTAATTGTTTCCATGCACCTTTGGTTTTCTTCATTCTTCTTTGCTCTTGATGAGGAGTGAGCCATTGTTGCATCGAGATGGCCACTTGCAAGCTTTTAAGTTCCCAGTTGCTACTCACCAAAGAAGGCTGTAGAACAATGTTTTTGTGTAGTATGTTATCCCAATTGAACTTGATGTCCCCTGTGACCATGGTCCCGAGCCCACAGGTCCAACTACTTGCTCCCTCTGGGTAGCTGGCTATGGCCAAGAAGCTACCACAACCTTGCCCCTTGTCGGCTGTACTATACATCTGGACGCCAATATAATTTCTTGATTAAATGTGGAACATGAGAGAAAATAGAAGACTCAAGGATAACTCCAAGGTTATTCTGAACAATTAGTAAAATGGAGTTGCCATGAACTGAGAGGAAGACTATAGAAGCATATTTGGGGAATAGGGCAAAGAAGGGAAAATCAGGGCTCAATTTTGCATACACTAAACTTGAGATGCCTAGTAGTCATCTAACTAGAGCAAAAAGTTAGATACCTGAACCTAGAGTTTAGGGAAAAGTCCCAGTCTGGATATGTAAATTTGGAAATCATCAGCCCTGATGATTTGTTTAAAGCCTTGAGACTAGATGAGATCAACAAGGAAATAAGTATAGATAGAGATCTGAAAGCTGGGTTCTAAAACACTTCAAAAAATTAAAGAACAGGGAAGAGAAACTAATGAAAGAGACAAGGAATGTGCAACTAATGAGGCAGGAAGAAAACCAGGAGAATGTGGTATCCTAAGAGCCAAGTGAAGAAAACTGTTTCAGGGGAGGGAAGAGTCATGAACTATGCCAAACACAGCTGATAGGTCACATTAGACGAGGCACAAAACTGATGATTGCATGTAGCAACACAGCTTACTGGTAATCTTGACAAGAGGTTTCATAGAGTAGTTATACACAAGAAACGCTAAATTATTGCCACGATGAGGGGAAAGAAATAGAAGGGGGGGGAATAGAGATAACAAGGAATAAATAAATAAACTACAAGAAGAACTTGATACCCCGATGGCTTCCCACAAGCTGAAGAGTATAATTAACACAACTCTCACGTGAGGTTAAACAAATAAAAGAAAATGAAAATAGAAAGGAAGGAGGTTAGAAACAATTTTAGAGACAGAATCAAGAGAACTCGGAACTATCTGGAAGTAGGAAAAGAGTGGAGCTTGGGAAAAAGAAAACAAATAGGAAGCACCAAAGGAGCAATTCAGATTATCTGAAGGGAAAACCCAAGTAGGGAATTAGAGACACTCTTCAAATACTCTTAATTTTCTTTCTCCAATTTCTCTTGCCTTAGACATAATGTATCCATTCATTCAACAGGCAGTTACTGAGCTAAAAAACATCTTCTGCCCCTATTCCTCAACTCCCACTCATTTTTCAATCCCCTTTGACCAGACTCCTATCCCCACCACTGCACCAAAACTGCTTGTATGGCAAACCAAAAAGACCCACTGCCATTGGGTCAATTCCAACTCACAGTAATCCTGTAGAATAGAGTAGAATTGCCCTATAGGGTTTCTAAGGCTGTAAAATCTTTACAGAAGCAGACTGTCCTATCTTTCTCCTGCAGAGCAGCTGGAAGGTTCAAACCACCAACTTCTTGGTTAGCAGCCCAATGCTTTAACAACTGCACCACCAAAGCTTTTGTGGCAATTACCTAAAATTCCCATGTTGCCAAATCCAACTTGATCCCTTCTCAGGCATCTGTCTTGAACTCCAGCAACATTTGAAACAATTGACAGCCCTTTTTCTCTGAAACACTCGGCTTCTAGGATACCAGTCTCTTATTTTTTCCAGATTCTCCCTCTCTACCCAGCTTCTAAAGGTTGGTTCTGGGAGTTTTCTCTACAATGTCCTGTTAGTGATTCATCTGTTCCCATGGTTTTAAACACACTCTATATGATGATGATGTCCTGACTTATTTCTTACTCCATTTCCCTGAGTGGCCCCTATCTCTTCTCTGAATGTCAGACTCTTAGCCAAGTGATTGACCCTTCCTCTGGTGTCTCAGGCGTATCACACTTAACATGTCCAAAACATAATCAAAATTTCAAATCTCTTACCAAGGCCTGCAAGGTCCTGCCTACCTAACCAATCTCACTATCCTTAGTCACAATGTTCTGGAAAGTTATGAACCCAAGCAGGCCCTTTCTCACCTCCTTCTGCCTGGAAATCTTCCCCAATCTTTGTTTAAAGCTCTTCCTTGCAACTTCTAAATGAGGCTCCACAGTCTATCTTCAATCACAGTGCTCAGCCCCAGTCTGTAGTTATGTCATTTGTTTGTTGTTAGTTCATTTGTTTATTGATATATATATATAAGCTCCAAAAGGATAGAGATCTCATCTGATTTGTTCTCTGCACCTTGCAGAATCTGGCCCCAAATCCATTTAGTTCCGTGGAGTCGCGACTCAGCAACCGTACAGGGTAGGGGAGAACTGCCCCACGGGGTTTCCAAGACTGTAATCTTTACCAAAGCAGACTGTCACATCTTTCTCTTGGGGAGCGACTGGGGAGTTCCAACTGCCGAACTTTCTGTCAACCCAGGCTTAACCACAGCACCACCAGTACTCCTGGCCCATGTGTGCATTTATTTTCGCATTCATTCAAAACATGCATGTGAAACACGCAGCGGTAATCAATCATAAAGCTTCCACAGCCCCGAAACTAAAGTCCATGCCTGAAAAACTTTTTTAATGGAAACACCTGACACAAGTGGAAGCCCAGAAAAAAGGTGCTTCCATCAACACTAGGCCAGCCCTACGCGCGCCGGGCTGGAGCCGAAGCCGCGTTCTGATTGGCCGAGAGAACTGAGCTACACCCCGCGGATGCCCTCCGCTCCCCCGGAGCTCACCTCCCCCTCGGCCGGTGGGCCCAGAATTAAGTAGAGCCACATGCTCCGTTCAGGGGCCCTCCCCGCCCTGAAGCACTGCTTCGCCCTTGGACCTTCCTGCCGCTTCTCCCGCCCCTCCGGCCTCACCTGGGCATGGAGGTCCCATTTTGTCTTCCGTTTTACAGGAGCTGGTTTTAAATCGCGCGCGCGAAACTTCTAAACGCCGTAACGGCCGCGGTGACGTCATACTGGGGCGGGGCTGGTGGTGCGCCTGCGCAGACCGTCTTGGTTCATTGAATTTAAGGGGCGTCCATCATCTCCCAAGGGAGTTGCATGGGGATTCACTGCGTTGGAGTCGTTTTCGACTCATAGCGACCCCAGCTTGGGTTTCCGAGGCGGTATCTCTAGGAAGTAGATTGCCCACACTTCCCTCTGAGGATTGGATGGTCGAGTTTGAACCCCCAGTCTTCTGGTTAGTAGTCAAATGCTTTAGGCACTAAGCCACCAGAGCTCCCTTCATGACTATTAACCGAAAAAAAGCCAAACTCACTGCCATAGAAACAGTTTGACTCATAGCGACCCCTCCTTGGGTTTCCCAGGTGGTACCTCTACGGATATAAATCCCAATTTGCCTTCCAAGGAGTGGCTGGTGGGTTTGAACCGCCAGCCTGGTTAGCAGTCAAATGCCTTAGGCACTAGGCCACCAGAGCTCCCTCATGGGTTTAGAGGGCTGGAAATTAGTCTGATTGAAGGTACCTGACCCGGTGCTATGGGTGGGCTCTATAGCTTATACGATGTGCTTAAAACATGTGAAACTGCTCACTACAGATAGTAACTAAGCACAAGTAAGCTCATGCTTACCTTATTGGTTTTCCACCCCTTCTTGTTTTGAGGAGCTCTGGTGGCATAGTGCCTAAGGCATTTGACTGGTAACCAGGTTAGTGGGTTCAAACCCCCCAGCTGCTCCATGCAGGGAAAATGGGGCAATGTACCTCTGCAAAGGTTATGGGGGTTGTTGTGAGTTGGAATCCACTCCATGTCAGTGAGTTTGGTTTTCTTTTTAAGTCTTATTGTTTAGTATCCCAAACACCCTGAAACATCCCCTGCCACTAAATGCCAACTAATACTATCAGTGCTCCACAGTTCATTTTGGCAACCAAAAAGTACGTTTTTGTGGAAAACCACTTTTTAACTTTTTTGGTTTTTTGCACTAACTTGTTCTCACAGTGACCACCTTCAAATGTGTAATGTAAGGATAGAAAAAAGAAAAGAAGATTACATGTTCTTCATGTCTCTGAATGATTCCACCAGCCACCCAGGGACCCAATTGAGCATCATAGTCTTCATGCTCCCTCCTCCTTAATCTCCACACATAATCAAATATCAAGTTTTTTTTTTTTTTTTTTTTTTTACTTCTCTTCAATCCTTCTGAACCCCTTATTCCACATTACCTTCTCCACGTTGGTCTGCAGCAACTTTGATCCCCATTGGGCCACAGTGGTGTTTACCAAGTACAAATCTGACCTGTCACTCTCACTTCGTGTTCCCCTCCTCTCCATCCCATCCCTACTTCCTTCCGAAAATCTAAAACCTTTAAAGATTTCTGTTGCCCTGGAAACTCCCTGTAGCTTCACCAGTCTTTCACCAGGCCTCCCATTGCTCCCTGACCTCCAGCCATGGTCCTTCTTTCAGATTTGTCTTAAGACACCCTTCCACCACAGAGCTCTGCACATGTGATTTCCTCCACCTGGGTCCTTTTCTTCCTTATTTTCACCCAATTAGTTTCCATCAGGTTTCAGCTCATGTCACTTCCCCAAGGAGGCCTTCCCTGATACAGTCAAGTCTCCTTATTATGTTTTAGTACAACTTGTTACTATTGCAATTTTACATCTGTTGTGATTATTTCTTGTCTATCACCTCCATAGATTCTGTGAGGATACAGTTGTGTTTATTAGTCATCATTATTTTCCCAGGGCCTGCTTTTGGCCCTGGACATAACAAGCACTTAAATGTAAATCCTGGGTTAGTTTACTTAACCTTTCAGAGTCTCATTTTCTTCCCTATATTTAAAATGGGGGCGATGATATCCTCTTTGCTGGGCTTTATGACAATTAGGTAATAGATCAAGCTCCTAGTGAGCATGTAGGCTCCATGAGTGCCAGGATCCCTGCCATCTCACTAGTCCATTCTCTTTGTGCTGAGAGCATTTGAGGGAGGAGGGTGGAACATACTGTGATATTCGGCATTCCATGTGTGCTCTGAATAACGGCAGTGGGGTTGGGAGAGTGGTAGGTGGAAATGAAATCAAGAGCCTCTGAAGAACAAGCGTGATACTCCTTCCTGGTACAGTAAGGGTACAGTTGACCCACTAGATGGAGGCATAAGGCTGTTCTGTGAAGATATGGAGCCTCCTGAGATGACTGTTGAGTCCCTTGGTGGTACAAAACGTTAAGGTTGCTAACTGAAAGTACCTTGGAAGCAAGCCCTGGCGATCTACTTCCAAAAAAATCAGCTATTGCCCTATGGCATATGATTTATTTTCACTTTAATAAAATAAGAAAACTCTATGGAGCACAATTCCACTCTGACTCACATGGGGTCCTCATAAGTTAGACTGATGGCAACTGGTTTGGTTTGGGGGCTGATTGTTTGGGGCAACGGGGAGCAGGGACAGTGGGCCGAGCCAGCTCCACCCCCAGTCTCTGTGGGCCAGGCCCGCCCAGTGCAGGCTAATCTTTCACCTTCTGCTCTGAATGCCATCTTTGTTTCTTGGGTTAGGGCTTCAGAGAATGCCAAAAGATTGAATGATTTATCAGTGGTATGCAAAGCTCAATTCCTCTATACAAAAATAAAGTAACAGGGGGCCACTCCCCCACTTTACATCTGCCAGAAAAGCAGTGCTGGATCCATTCCCCTCCTCCATTTTACTCCTCACTGGGAATTCTTCTTCCCCAAAATAAATTGGAAACATCCTTAGTTTAGGTTACAGTTAGTTTCATCATTTGGCTACTTGGACAGCAATCTTTTGACTTCAAATGTGTCCTGACCATCTAGCCTACAGCTGACTTATATCATAATGTACTTAATGATATAAGCTATAAAGTCACCCACCGTGAGGCTCAACGGACTCATACTTGAAAATGGCTTTCCATTCATTCTGGTCTCTGTGCAAATAACTGTAATTTTTGTGTGTGATATGCAATGCCTGACCTCCTAAAGACTGGGACAAGAACCAACAATTCATGTCTTCTAGAATTTCCAAACAATAACATACCACCCTTTATCTTAGACTATAGTACTTTTTTCCTTTGCAAAAAATGTTAACCCCTTCCATTTCATTTTATTTCTAAGCCCACTCTGAAAGGTTGCTAAAGCACATTGTTCCTTTGGCTCTGCCACTTACTGTGTGACCTAGAGCAAGCTGCATTCCCTTTCTGTGCTTCGTAAGTTTCCTCATATGTAAAATGGAGATGATAAAGTGCCCACTTCATGAGTTTGTAGTGTGAGACTTAAATGAGTTACCAGACGTAAAGCACCCCTATTGGCAGTGCTCAAGGAGCTCTGGTGGTGTAGTGCCTAAGGCATTTGATTGCTAACCAGAAGGTCGGCGGTTCAAACCCACCAGCCACTCTACAGAAGGAAGATTGGGCAATCTACTTCCATAAATATTTACCACCTTGGAAACCCAGAGAAGGTCACTACAAGTCAGAATTGACTCAATGGCAGAGAGTTTGGTTTTTTGGTTTTATTGGCAGCGCCCAATGAACACTTAAGTAACCCCATTGCTATCATTGCTGGTATATCCTGGATGCTAGCCAGGTTTGTTTTGGAACAAAGTTTAGCTTCCTAAATATCTGGAGAGGTTTCCTCTTTAATTGTGAGCATGTTCCCAGAACACTGTAGCTCTGTTCTTCCCATTACTACTTGTTTGTTTTTTTCTACTTTCTTGCACCCTCTGCTCCACCCAAGCTGACTGTTCCCTTTGTAGTCTTTTACACACTCATAACTTTACATTTTTCTTCTATTAGACTAGAAACAACCACACAGTCCTAGAACATCACACCACCTTCTTTCTACCTGAGCCACCTTATGTCTTCTAGAGCTTATGCATTTGTTTGTAGCCACTAAGATCTTCTGACTTGGGTACCAGGCAAACAACCTATATGTTCCTTAGCAGTTTTAATTATTCATTCCTGGCTACTGGCCATACCACTGCGAAACCACAAGGCAGCCTGGTTCAAGGCACATTGAGAAATGCCAGGCTATACTGCATACAGCTACTCAAAGAAACCTGAAATTCTTGGGAACAGACATGTATGTGTTGCTGCACAGATTCCAATCTGACAGAAAATAGCCTCCTTTATTGATTTGAAACTAAAGCATCAGCAAGTTCTTTGCTAAACGAAAAGCAGGCTGATGGTTGCTGAAACACGAAAATCACACCATCACTGCACCTTAACATGAAAGCAGTACCTGGTGGGTGCCACCAGGTGACATGGAAGCACAGCACAGTGATTGTGGAGCAGGACATCTGAACACTGGCTGGCACCAGCTTCCAGAACACTTTCAATTTATCTTTGCTTGGGGGAGGGCGGGTGTTGATTCTAGAACTGAAGCTCAGAAAGGCCCTATCTGATCCCCCTAAGGTTAAGCTAAATGTGAGGCCAGGTTCTCCTCTCCAGCAGATCTTCCTGTCAGTGCTGAGTAGCAACAGCATTAATATTTCCAACAACCACACCCACAACTATAGTTGCATTTCTTAACCCTCCTCCTCAGGATGCCCAAGGTTTTGAAAGGGAAAAATATATCAGTCCTATCTCTAGAATCACTACTCTGTAGAGCCTGCTGCTTCACAGCCCCTTCCTGTCCAACCCTGGCAATCAGCCTAGACGGTGATGAGCCTGCTTTTGAAAACGGCAAACACAGTTCAAATAATCCCTTTTCTTCTCTAAACAGAGAAGACAAAGGTATTGCCAGACTGAGAAAAAGCACAGTTATAGATGGCAGCAAAACCTTCTTTAACAAGCAGGTAGTTGCCCCTCAGAAACAAAATAATTGCTCATGTTAGAGTTTAACTAAAAACTCACTGCTGTCAAGTCAGATCTGACTCATAGTGACACCTCCTTGGGTTTCTGAGGCAGTATCACTACGGAAGTAGATTGCCTTACCTTCCTTCCAAGTAGTGGCTGGTGGGTTTGAACCGTCAGCCTTCTGGTTAGCAGTCAAATGCCTCAGGCAC